TTTTTTTTTACTTTTTGGAAAAAAATGGCAGGGGCAAAAATGTCCAAGGGGGCGGTGAATAGTAACTCCCTAAAATAACTCAACTCATTCTTAATTCATATTCAAAATCTAATTCAACTTTAATCAAATTTCACTTTTTTCAATATTATCAATATAATTAAATAATATCAGTTAATCATTCTTACATATGTTTATTATGTTTTTGTGTTTCTTTTTATGTGTTTCTTGTGCGTAGTTGAGTCGGTTTTAGGATTGTTTTAGCGTTGATCGGTCCATTTTATCGTTTTCCGTGTGTTTTGTGTGTCTTTCTTTATTTTTTTATATTTTTGGCGTACTTTTCTGTATTTTGTGGTGTACTTTCAGGTTTATTCTCGAGGGTGTCGAGAAGAGTTCCGAGAGACGAGATTTCCAAGTATTCCGAGTCAATGTCGAGAATTTCCGAATCATTTAGCTAGTCCATTCGATCAAAAGTCCCTAAGGGTGGTCGCACTCGCGCCCTCGACCCGCGTCCCGCGCCCCGTGCCGCGCCTCGCGAAGATAGCCGCGACGTCGAGAGTATCGCCTTCCCTCTTGTGCACTTCAGTGTTTTCCCGTGTCCGCGCGCTCGAAACCACTCGCGACGTCGAGAGTACCAGCCGTCCGCGCTCGCGAAATCCGCCGCCAGGTCGAGAGTCCGCGCCCGCGCCTCGCGAAGATAGCCGCGACACCGAGAGTAGTTCGTTGCCCCGCGCCACCTCGTGCCAGGCCGTGCCTTTCCCAGTCCGCGCCGCGCGAATTCTTCCGCGAGCTCGAGAGTAGTACTCCATTGCCGCCCCGCGCCCGCGAACTTACCCGCGATATCGAGAGTAGTGTGTTCCCTCGCGCCAATCCCGTGCATTCCTCGAGACAGACCGCGCCATCCCGCGCCATGCGACCCGCGGAAGTACCGGCGAGCTCGAGAGTGTGTCATTTAATCTGCGTGTTTCTACTGTGTGTTTTTGGAGCAGGACTATATATATGTTTTGGCCCTTTGTAATTAAACATCTAGATTTCATTTGCTACTTTACTCTTTTTGGTAATGTCTTTGGTTATTTTTATTTCCCTCTAGATTCTCTCTAGCTTAGTATTTTCCGGCGAACTATTTCCGGCAACTTTTTCCGGCAACTCTCGTTTTTATGCAAGTTTATATCTTTTTACTCCGATTTCGACCAAGCATGCACTAGGAATGTGAGTACTTAATTTTAAGACTTATATTTTCGTATTGTGCACCTAATTAGCTATCTCGTTAGTAGAAGTGATTAGGACTTGCTCGATTATCGGATATGTTTGCTCGTTTAGTCATTTTCCGTGTGTTTGTAGTTTTTGAGCTTGTCTATTGTGCTTGAGTTTGTTGAAGTGTGAATTTCTACTTGAAACATCGTGACTATGATATTGAGCTCGGTTATTTCGTCGTAGAATTTTCGGCTTTAACTGTTAAGTGTAGTAGATGGAGTTCGTTTCTTTTGTTTTGGCTCGTTTTTGTTGATTTTCGGTTCTCCGGTTTAGTTAGCTAGGGTTTCTAGTATAATTATTTGTTTAATTGCTAGTAGCGTATTTCCTTAGTTAATCTAGTGCTTAATCAATCTTCAACCAATGAATAGAATGTTTAGGATTTATTTCTCTCGTTTTGTGTTTTTGGGCAATTGAATAGCAACCAAAGCTCCGAATAGCCTTCCTTAGAGAACGACCCGAGTCGGGTAACTCGGTTACCACATACCCACGAATCTCTACTAAACAACATATCACATCAATTTTAATTTACTATTTATCTACTCACATAATTTTAACTAATCATCACTGCATATCATCTCTCTTCTCTTTTTACATCAAATTAATTTTAATTATTTTATTTAAAATATTATTTTAATATAAACTCAAAATCACTAACAACTAATCATGTCACATTTTTTTAAAATTAACTCTGAGTAACCAAAAAATATATTTGTATTCAAGCACGTCCTAAGCTTTTAAAAATAACTTACAAAATCAATGCGTTCTTGCCAAACTTGCATACAGAGGGGTATAGATACTTGATCCGAGTCAAAACATTGACATCAAACAAGCTACATCTTAATATGGCCACAAAATAAAAGATTACATTACTATTTCGAATCCTAAATGCACTTGCTACATACCCTCATTACATTCATCTTTGTTAAATGGATTCAATTATAGAAGACCTAAAGATGATACTCTTAAAATCCTACAAATAGTCTGGCTCGTTTAGTTACTAATCGAATCAAGAGGAGACATTTCGTTAGAAATTGTTGGCTCGTTTTGTGGCGGAAAGAGTGTTGGAGAGTAGCATAGCAATGGTCATGGGGCCCACACCTCCGGGTACAGGTGTGATTGCTGAAGCAATCTTGCTAGCCTCCTCGTAACAAACATCCCCTACAAGCCGATATCCTCGGGGATTTGATGCATCCTGCAAAAACCCAGTGACAGTAGAATTACCCAAAAAACAAAAAAAAAAAAAAAAAAAANAAAAAAAAAAAAAAAAAAAAAATCTTAGATAATTATAGAAATGCCCCGTCAAGTTTTAAAATGAATTACACGTAGCCACAACTTATCGAGTAGCTATCTATAGTGTTTACAAAGATCAAGGAACTGTGAATTTAAGACCAAAAGTGGGGGTTGTTTGTAACATTACAAAAGGATGAGGGATGAGAATGAAATACTGAAAGATACTTTACGAGAGCAGCAATTTCTGGGGTAAAAAATTTAGCATCATTAACCTCAAGGATCAGAACTTAGAAATGTCGGGGAGTGTATTTGTTTGGGATTTTTAAAGACATATTTTGAGTGACATTAGACTTTTAAAGACTTTTAAAAGTCTTCAGGTATTTGTTTGAGGTTTTAAAAAGTCTAACAAAATCCTCCTGAGATATTTATCTTATTTGAAATTAAGATTTTCTAAGATTTGTTGGGATTTGAAAAGAGAAAACTTTTTCATAGGATTCCTCCTAAATCCAAAAATCTTAAAAAGTCTCAAATCTCAAAAAGTCTAATGTCACTAAAAATACCAAACTACCAAATGAATACACTCCCCGTCATGCTGAATATTTACTTATTTGGTCTGATTTGCTCTCGCAGTTCTTAATTAGAGTTGAGAGGAAAAAAAAGAAAATGAAAAACCTCCACCAAGTTGACAAGTGTACGCGTACGAGTATTGAGGGATTTTACACGTTAAAAAAGGATAATTTGTGTTCTCACCTCAATAGGATTAATTCCAACATCAATGACGAAAGAGCCAGGCTTGATCCAACTGCCTCTCACCATATTCGGCTGGCCCACGGCAGAGATCACAATATCGGCTTCTCTAGTGATCTCCTCCGGATTTTTCGTTCTTGAATGGACAATACTAACTGTTGCATCCTCCCTCTGCCAGAATAAGCAAGAAATTTCTAACCTTAAGGTCATAGTGCATTCAGATTAAAAGTCATTTTATTTACTTAATAATAATAATATTTTACTCATTTGGAAAAAAAAAATAAAAAAATAAAAAAATAAAAAATCCTTTTTAAAGTTTATGACTTTTTATTCAACAAAGGCATACTTGCAAGAGCAAGGCAGCAGGCATTCCGACAATATTGCTCCTCCCGATAACAACAGCTCTTTTTCCCTTGATAGGAACATTATATCTGTGCAATAACTCTATGCATCCTTTGGGTGTGCATGGAACAAATAGCGGTTCTCTATCCCTCATGGCCAGACGACCAATATTCAGAGGGTTGAATCCATCGACATCTTTCTCGATACAAACAGCATTTAAGATGTTCCGCTCATTCATATGCTGGGGGAAAAAAAAAAAGAAAGAAAAAGAAAATTCAAAAATCATTCGATTGCTACCCTGATACAGTGAAGTAATTCAAGAAGAAATGAAAGGTTAATTCTTAGCTCATTTCGATACATTTGACATCTTATACAGTCTTACTGAAAAGCAACCTCGATTATCATATCAATTTTCACCCTTGCTTTATATTATTATTATATTAGATCCGGTCATGCATTATCAGGCAAACATTCTCATGATTCTAATTTTTGTTTTGCATACGTTCATTTTGAAGGTTGCATAGGGTTCAGTTTCACAAGGAAACTTAGCATATTCAGAGGCTTACAGAAGGAAGAGGCAACTGCACAAGGATACCATTAACTGAAGGATCTCCATTGAAGCCTGTGATATACTCGAGCACTTCTTGTTCTGAACAGTCTTCAGGCAAGTGCACTTCGAATGACTTGATCCCAACAGATTCGCAAGCTTTCTTCTTGTTGCGTACGTAAGTTGCAGAGTCTTTCCTTTCTCCAACAAGAATAACAGCCAGGCCAGGAACAATCCCAGTAGACTCCTTCATCCTTGATATTTCGATAGCTATTTCCTTTCTTATTTCCTTGGCAACTGATTTTCCATCGATAACCTTTGCAGAAGCCTCGATGGCCATTGCTGCTGAAAAGGATGCATCCAGAGAATTAGGGAAACAATATAATGAATACTCTAAAAGAAATGTTGACATATATATAATTTTAGAAAATGAAGAGGAAACACGCACACAATCAAACACACATACCAAAATATAAAAAAGGCATGCAAGTTTTGAATCATCTTTGACCCCACAAGCTCAAAAAAACCCGAGTTCATTCCAGAGCTCACTCAAGTTGGTTTAGCTCTCCGTAAGTTACCAACTATAAAATTTGCGCACACAATCAAACACACATACCAAAATATAAAAAAGGCATGCCAGTTTTGAATCATCTTCGACCCCACAAGCTCAAAAAAACCCGAGTTCATTCCAGAGCTCACTCAAGTTGGTTTAGCTCTCCGTATACCAACTATAAAATTTAGACAACTAGAAATATTCTGAAACCGATGAGGTTGTAGTTGAAATCATAACTTCTTCAAACGACAAAATAAAGCCAAAATAGCTAACACACACTGAATTCTGCTCATCCAGCACACAATAAACTGAAAGCCTGTAAGTCATATTCTCAAAACAATAGGAACAGATGCTCAACACACTCACCGCGATAAAAAATATTTCCATCTACTAAATGTCACTTAGCTAACATCACCAGATTCTGGCTCTTTCGAATCTATCACACGCCTGTATTTGCAAAATTCCAAGCAGGGAGGGAGCCTCCTTAACAAATTACAGATAGGTTAATTAATTTTCACAATACATGGGGCAATACACAACAGATACATGGATAATGCGTCCTTTTACTCTCATCCCAGCGTAACACGGTCAGAAGAGTAAAAACCAATTCAATCAGACAAAATTAACGCAGAAATTTCGAGCAAATCGGATAATGAAATCATGTTCTCACCATTAACAACGGAAGATGAAGAACAAAGAGAAGCGGAGTCACGGGCGTGAGCACCGACGGCACAACTACTTCTCAGAAATGCGGAATAGCTTCGTGTGGGACGCACGCGGAGGTTGGCAACGAGCGAGGCTCTGCGAGAGCAGCTCTCCGCAGCGGAGCTGAACATGGCGGCAGATGACGACGAGGCGGCGGCGGCGGCGGCGGCGGCGGCGGCGGCGGCCATCTTGTGACCGAGGGTTCGGAGCCGTAGTGTCAGTCCTATGCTTCCGGTTTTAATTTTTATTTAATGATTTGATTGATAGTCGAAGAAGAGCATCTCTAGCAGTATTTCAAAAGTAAAATTGTTTTTTGCTCCTATTTATCATTATACAATTAAAAAAATAAAACCTAAATAAATATAACAATATTTATATAAAAATTATTACATTTACTAAACATGTATGTAGAATTTACTAAAATACTAACTAAATTTGAAGAAAATTTTTAATTTATAATCTAATTCGTCGATTAAATTATAGATATTGGTATTTAATTGCATACACTTTATAGTCTTTATTAATGTACATAAATAAAAATAAATAAAAAATTGATATATTTTTTAAATTATATTATAAGTTTAATGATATATATTTTGTCAAAAACATGAGATATAGAAATTGTTTATAAAGCAATGTTTATATCCAGTGTTAAACTATGATGAAATTGCGTGTGTTGTCCACTGTTAAATTATGATGAATAAGTTTGTTCTATTTTTTCTACCTTTCACTCTCACAATATAGTATTGTCAGATAGACTACAATACACTTTCACAAAGATGCTCTAAGGTTCTAGAAAGAAAAAGACGAAAAAAGAAATATATACATCTTTTTCCTCTAATAAAAAATAAATAAAATATAAATAAAGCGCATATTTAACCGTTCACATTTAAGATTTTCTTTTGTATTTTGTGATTACCAAAAATAGTTAATATATTTTGCCAAATTGTTTTACCAACTGATTTAGCAGTTGTCGAATTTTAAACTCAATTCACTGTGAGTAGCCCATAAATTAATTTGTAAACCACTAATTTCATTTTATTAATACACATCAGAAGTTTAATATATCCTTATATCTTGTTATAAGAAAAACTAGTACGAATGCACGGTAAGAAATACTCTCTAATATTTATAAATTAAAAAATATAGAATCAATATACAATACAATTTACTTATATTAATTTATGAAAATGTTATATGAAATTTACATTGTGCAAAATTACATAAAACATGTCTGTTTAAAATAGTACACGGCCTGTATGGTGCAAGAAATTGATAATAAATTACATTATATTCATTTCAAAATAGGTGTCATTTTAAATTTTTTATTCAAAAATTTGATTTGACTACAATGTGATTCAAGTAAATACAAACCTTTATATGTTCCACGCACATTTACAAAGAAGTATCGAACATAGTATTCTCCAGATTTACAATTATTTTAGAATAATTTTATAAAAAAATATAATTGAATAAATCAACCGAATTTACACGATTTGCGTAATTAGGGTATATTAAAAATGTAAATTTTATGGTCTAATTATTTTCTCAATTATCCACGATTTGAATAATTAAATAAACAAAAGATGAATAACATTTATTAAATAATATTTAAATAAAAAATATCATTAACACAATTTTTTAAAACAGGCTTTCGCAAATCGCATAATTGATTATTGTTGTTTATATTTTTATAATTGTAGTAATTATTTGTAGATTGAATAAATTAGTCGGATTTACACAATTTGTATAATTGAGGTATATTAAAAATGCACATCACAAAAGTATTACACAAAAAATATAAAACACTTATTAAATAATAAATTACACAGTTTAGTTGAATTTTTTTTATCAAATCACATAATTGATAATGCAGCCGAAATTCCCATATTTGGATAAATCAGCCATTCACATGATTTGAGTAATTAAGGTATCTAAAAAATGAAATGTTTTATTATTATGTTTGGTAAAACTAGCTGATAAGCTAGCTGATAGCTAATAAGCTAGCTTATAACTTATCAGTAATTTTTGAGCTTGAACTTATAGCTGAAAAGCTAGCTTATATGATAATACGCAACTACTCTTTTATTTTAATATTTGTTGTTATATTTATTTTTATTATTATTTAAAAAATGTTTGGAAGAAAAAATGAGCAGAACTATAGCTACACCTTATTTGGAATAATATTAGCTATTTTGACTAAGAATTCGATCAACAGCTTGTCAAATAAGCATTTAGTATATAGTGAAAATATATATTATTGTATTGCTTTTTTTTTAATTATATCTTCCCAAAACGATGCTCTTTTCAGTTTTTCCGAAATTAGCATTTTAGGTCGAAAAAGTTAATCAAATAAGCTTGTTGCCAAACAAGTTAATCAGTGAATTTGATTGGTGAAACCTCTAAATAAGCTTCAATCCACTAATACATAGAAGAGTCCNAATCCTATCTCTTAAAGAAAATTCTGAGACACGGAAAAGGTTCTACCACCAAAACTATGGATCAAAAAATGATGAACCGTTCATCATTCTTCCAAACCGGGTTAATCAGTTTACAGCTGCCGTAATTTTTATGTACATTCTTTTTTTTTCACCCCCAATGGAGTACAAATGCTATACAATATTGAAGTGGATGATTTCAATTTCTCCTTCATTTTCACGAGAAAAATGGGAAAATTTACTTCTTTCTAGTTCTACCCTGCTGTATGTATCCAAATGGTTCACATTACCAGAGATCCTTCAGGCAAATGGTCGTCTGAAGAATCCGAAGGCTGAGATTTGGGTTTGGTCATAATTCGCGAGAATCCATAGCCGAGTGAGCTTCCACTGGCTTCAGAGAGCTGAATTAAGTACATAAACATCGAGTTGGTCAGGACCTATAAATTGAAGGACTGGACGGTATTTCATAAAAACATATACAGAACCTTACAGGGCCATTTTGTAATATCTCAAGTTTTGCAATTTTTTTTCGAAGACAGTCGAGTAACTTTTGAGAGTATTTCTTAAGATAACTACAATTTCTTTGTGTACCTCAGTAAGCTCAGACAGATGGCGGGATCTGAACTCATTAATTGTAGCTGCTATCTCTGACATGGGCAGTTTAGCCTATATAACACAGAAGAAAAGGATAATCATGATCAAAAATATTATTTGAAACAACTACT